GAGAGAGGAGCAAAAGCAGCTTTCGACTTGTTTGAACAAGCGTTTATATATTCTGTATAAAATTCCGAGCGTCAGCAGAAATCAACGCAAAGACGCTTTCGATATGGAGTGGAGCAGAGAGCGAGACCCCTAGTCGTGCTCTTATGATCTGCGCCTACGCCATCAAAATTGGAAGCTGCACCCCTTGCCGAGCGCTTCCACAATAAATAATATGCAATTCCGGGCCGGGCTTACATTCACCCCGGCTTATTATATTCTTTGAGAGAGAGAGAGTGCTTTCCCAAATCGTAAAGCGGCATTAGCGCAGTTGTTGCTCTGTGTGCGCAACCCCCGCCGATATCTTGCTTGATCATGCCACTATCACACAGAGGCGCGGCGGCGTCAATAAAGGCAAAAGCCCTTCTCTCTCTGCTAGAGAGGTCTATAATTAAGATTCATATGCGCGTCGGAGACCGGCAAAAATTGAATTTGGTTTGAGCTAAATGCGCCTCGCTCTATTCTCCGCCGTGATTGCTACTTTAGCTGTATCGACGAGACGAGAGAGACGAAATTTAATTAGCGCGAAAATGGAGTGCCGAGGCTTTGTCAATTTTAAAATTGCCTTTTACTAAAAGCATTGTATCAAAGGCGGCAATTGTATAATCAGAATGCAATAATTTATATACATTAAAGTAATATTTAATATAAAAAATCTTAAAAAAAAATCAAACGCACTAATTCAAAACAAACGTTACTGAAGCACAAGCAAAAATATGAATTTATATATATATATATGTATATATATATATATAATATATATATATATATATATATATATATATATATATATATATATATATATATATATATATATATATATATATATATATATATATATATATATATATATATATATATATATATATATATATATATATATATATATATATATATATATATATATATATATATATATATATATATATATATATATATATATATATATATATATATATATATATATATATATATATATATTTTAATCTAGTAAAAAACAATAATTTTTCTTTTTCAATATTCATTTTAAAATTAGTCTACAAAAAAAAAATTTTTTTAGCATTAAAAAATTCAAATTACACAAATTTTGATCATAACTATTAAACTATTTCAGATGCATGAGCGTCTTTTATGGCAAATTGAATGATTTTGGATTCTTTGAAATTGCATCTGTAAACGATATTTGGCATATATTATCATCGCTGTTTATATACACAATAGTTAATTTGTTTAGCGTGAAACTTGCAATTATAAATATCGGAGCATATAAGAAAAATGCAAACACGCTGATTTTTTAACAATCCCATAGATTTTCTGTTGAAGAAAAAAATATTTATGGAATAATTTATCAAAATAATAAATAAAACCTTATTTGTTTTTATTTATTAAAAAAAATTAAATAAAACTTGTAAATTAAATTTCTCATTATGATGGCCGCTATTTTTGATTACGTGAGAATAATAATAAGATAATTATATATCATTTTATCTATTCTATTTTTGTAATTTCAATCAAACGCAAATTTAAAAATCCGTTTAAAAATTTTTTGCTACAATGTGGTGAAATTTGCGCATTTATTTCCGCAATCTGGTGCAAATTGTGCTTTGCGACGCAGCAAATCCGGCGCTCTCGATCCCACCACATGAAATACACTCGCGCGCGAAACGAGTATACCAGTCTGTAATTTGGTAGTAGTTTTGTGATTGAAGTTTGTAATTATGCTAATTTTCGTTATTACGGGGTACCGAGCGAGAGCGAGCGAGCGAGCGCGCATACTCATGAGCGGAGAAAAAAGCCAGTTGTGTGTAGAAAAGCAGGGGCTCCGGCGCGGCGCATACTTGATGAGGCGCACGGCGGCGGCGGCGACTCATCCGCGCCGCCGCTTTATTGTGTGTGAAACCGGCAATAAAATTTGAACGCCGATGAGAAATTATGCACGGCAGCCATAGCAAATACTTGCTTTGAATCAAAATTTCATATTGTAATATATGTTGACACAACAAAAATGTAAATCTATGGCAAGGAATGAAGCTAGGGAGACACATTTAAAATTTTGCCCACATCGAAAAATAACATGAAAGCGATTTTTCTCAATTATTATGTTAAAGATTATTTTAATAATTTTTAAATTGCAGAAAGATTATGATTAATGATTATTCTGGAATATTATCAAGTTTAAAATTGAATTGATTGGGTAAATTTTTTATAATTAGAATATTGATGTTCAGAATCTTATATAAAATGCTATTGTAAAAAAAACCTGTTATCTTTTTACATACAAATTTTTAAATAAATTTTAATAAATTGGACGAAAGGAAATTACTTTTTTTAGACTTTTGAAGGTAAGCGACTTTTAGAAAATTAAAGCATCTTTACTCTACCAATAATTTTTTTTTTGTTACGAATCAAATCTAATTTAAATTAATATTTTATATTTTTCATTAACAAATAAAAAATATTATGCCATTAGCAATCTCAGTAATTACTTCAATATGAAATAATTAATAAATATAAATATTTTTTTAAATTTAAAATAAATATTTTTCAATCAACAATTAAACAGTTGATATTTATCCGAACCTATCAGGAAATGCTTTTCTTTTGTGCCTAATTAACTCTCTATGATACTTTCTCATCAGTTGTTGATATACCCAGCGATAGACCAGTTTTTCTAACCATTTTCTCACCATGATTTTTTTTCTTCTGCAAGTCGCATCATCAATAACGCATCCGATCCAATTTCATGGCTTGGAAATTGATCCGCATATCGTTCTCACCATCAAAGCAGAGTGAATCTCGCTTTCTGCAAAAACCCTCTCTGTGACCACTGAATGAGAAAAATAAACTTTGCTCTTTGAGACTCCGTTTTTATATTAAATTCCATGGAAATATAAGTTCGCAAAAAATGTCAATTAATTACTTCTGCTCCAGCTCAGTTGCTAATTGCAAAATCGCTAATTAATCAAGTCACTCTTATTAATCACTTAGTTAGCTATGCACTGTCACCCTCATCACATGAAAGGGTTCTTTTTGTATGCTTGGAAAAGTCGTCGCCGGAGAGCAGAGAGGTGCATCAAATTATCAAGATGATTAATTCAACTCTGGCGTTCGCAAAGAGCAAAATAAAACATTCATCGAGGCGAAATAACTCTCCGTTCTGTCTGCCGACGTAAATCATCATTAAGGGGGATTGATTGAATAAATAAACAAAACGAAACACATGCGCGATATCCAGCAGCAAAACTGCCACCCCGTAATTCATATTCTGCGAGGCAATATCCTGTGCGTTTCAATTGCGCAATAATTCAATTGTTTTTCATGCTCGTGTGGGCAATAATTAAAAAGGGGGTTGCAGCCCTTCATTATACTCCTTTCTCTGGCCGGGGGAGGAGAGGGAGAGAGAGAGGCACTTAAAATCTCACTGCGAGAGCAGAGCGCGGTGAAAATTCAGCGTGCAAATGACGTTGCAGTTCGGTCGCGCATACACATCAAATATTTAATGATTGAAGCAACTAAGCACGCGGCACCCAATAAAATAATATAATACTCTGCACCCCCTTCTCCCCTTCTGTGTCGCTTCAAAATGGGTTTGCTTCCCACACGTCAGGAGAGGGTTTCAGCTGTGGGCAACTCCACTTTTAGTATTTTTAATTATATCTCAAATTTGTGAAGAAAAAGTTTTAAAAGGGGAAAAAGGTAAAAGCTGTCATTATAATAAAGTAAATCATACATTTTTGTGCTGTTTCTGCTTATTCTGATTCATGATTTCAGCAAACAAAACGTATAACAAAACATTTTTGTAAATTTTGTCTATATTATTTTTGCTATAATTTAGTTTGATGCTGATATTGAATTATATTAATTTCAGGAAACTTCCTTTTCAAAAAATAATAAATCATGTTTTTCTATGAATTTTTTACTGTTTTCTCTTAAAACTGGCTAGACTGGAAAGCAAACGCATTATTTATTTAGAGTGTTGACTTCCAACACAAATAATACATTTTGCTTGATCAAATGTTGTAAATTTCTAATTATCTTGTCTGGAAAGTTTCACAAGTTGACATATCTCATATCTCCGATCTTTACCGAGGAATTTAAAAGCTTAATTACAAAGTTTACTTTTTATCATCAAATTTCAGCAATCCAATTTTCTTTATTAAAAATTGAGAGAGTAAAAGCTTTGAAAAGTTTCAAAACAGGAAGACTGGAACTTTAAGTCTAGAAATTTTCATAGATTTCTTACCTTTCTTTTCTAATTGACTCTTTTGAATTTGTAAATTTTGATTGGGAAATTTTTTTCTCAGTTTTAATTGCATATAATATCAACTTTTTGTAAGGATTAATCGTTTGAAATATTTATAAATAGAATTTGGTGCCAATGACAAGTGGTGCAAATTGCAAGAAAAATTGCCTTTGCTCCTTTGACCTGCGAATATATAGCTCGGCTCAGTCAGTGTGTTTCTCTCAAAATAAATATTTGATCCGATCACTGCCGAACGAAATTCGCTTCCGAGACAAGAAGAGAGTTTGCCTTCGGAGCTGCCGTCAAACGTACGCGAGGAGACAAATTCCACCCCCGCTCGCAGCATCCATACTCTGCTCAAAGTGGCTGCGTGAAAAATGTTTTCAAGCTCAATTTTTGCCATCGGCGCTCAATAACTTGGCACGACCCCGGCAGAGGTGGTTTTTCGGTGCGCTCGGCGGCGCGCACCGGAGAGCAAAATCACATTTCCATCCGTCGCCCACCGCCACCAACCAGAAGATATGAAATAAAAAATATATGTATAGGGCACGGCGGGGTGGAAGGCAGGTAGGGTAGGGATCGTCATGCGCTGCCTAGGTGCACTTGAGCCTGTATAAAAGCACGGGCGAAGCAGAGAAATGGATGGAAATGCTGTCGGGGCAGCCCTGCGAGGACCTCTGGCGGGCGCCGCGGCGTCACCTCCTCGAGACCGCACTCGACGCTCGTCTCTTCAGTCGGGATCGAGCTGCCGAGCGGTGCGAAGGTACCGAGTGTTTTTTCCACGCGCACGGCGTGATTTGAAACTTCTTCCTCAACGCAGCATCCGTGTGGACCTGAAATTAAGGCATGTCCGCCCGTTAGTTGGATTTACTATTCTTCTTGCTTTCCGAGTGGATTTCAAAACTGACTTCGGAAAATTGTGCTGCGGTGTGTTTTGGAAAACTGTTCAATGTGGCACAGTGTGCAGTGCCGTCGTCGCCGAGACTCTTCTCGCCTGATTTGAGGAGTCCCGAGTTCCAGTTTATCTGGTAAGAAATCGAGCATTATCTTATGAAAAAATTTGGGATTTTTAAAAAAAAAAAAATTCGTGAAATTCTGAATCGGGTGAAGAAATTGAGCTTAAAAAGTGCTGAAATTCTGCTTTTTTTTTAAATTGATCAATTTTTGTTAATAATTTTCTATAAATTTTGTATTCAACACAAATTCATTCTTGTGGGATAATTTTAAATTTATTTCCAAACCGGTTTGCGAGCACTCCTCTCGTGAATTTCTCAAAACCACTCTCAGCATTAAAATTTCAAACAGCAATTCCACCTTTGCAACTCAATACATATCTGATGACGCCTGTTTGAAATATTGCGACGGCGGCCGAGTGAATTGCGCATTGTTTCCATCCGCGATATAAAATAGTGGATTTTAAAAGCTGACTCCTTTCCGGAGATTTTTTTATTATTATTTTTTATTATAAGTATTCAAAGTCCGAGGCGGGCTAGGGCACGTTTGGCGGCGACCTCCCGTCGATTCTCCTGCCAGCTGCCACCTTCATATCTGCGGCCTCAAAATTTCCCCCCTCGGTTATAAATTGAAAGGAAAAATAAAATAAAACGTGGCGCTGCTACATCTCAGTGGGTAGTTTTCCTCGAAATTCAATCCGGCGATACGTTTTCTTTCTTGCGCTCTCCTCAGGTTGCTTCTTCTTTTTTTGCTCCGGTGCGTGCTGAGAGAATTGCTATTATAAAATTTTGAGATGAGACAAAAGTTTCCTTTTTTTTTAAGAAATAAGGTTCTTGAACTTTGATCAAGCAGAATAAACAGTTTTAATAATGACGAAGATAAAAGGAAACTCTTGGTACCTTTGGCGGAATGAAGTCCCAAAATTCCCTTAACTTTTCAATTTTCGCCGAAACGACTCTCGCTCTCCGCACGCAAATTGCGGAAAAGCAGGCTTTGCCCGTCCGTGCCTGCTGCAATTGAATTATTCATACCCACTTAAAACTGAAAAGTCGCCCGGGTTCACAAACGCGGCTTCTTCTTCTCCGCTGCAATAAACAAAGAGAGCATGCATGAAATTTCGCATTCTCTTTGGGGCCGATTGTAAAGCTGGTGTAATTATTGGTATTTATTCTCTCTTTTCGCGCGGTCGGTTAAAGGTGATGAATCGCGTGAAGCGAAACACCTCGTGGCAAAATTTATTTATTTTTTCTCTCCGAGAGAGCAAAAATCGTGGTGCGCCGACGGTAATTGCGCCGTGATTTTATATACCCGGACGGTTGGGAAAAAATTTATTTCCAGCAGCCATCGACCGGCTCCTAGCAAGCTTTGATCAGTTTCTGCGGAGGAGGGCTGCTTTTTGATAAAAACCCATCAAGCACTCGATTTTGCCCCGACTTGGGGTCCGTTGGGAAATTTACTTATAGATATCGGCCTGCTGCGGTTTCGAGCGGCGCGTGCAATGTTTGATTTGTTTTGCTGTGCAGTCTCGGAAAAGAGGCCTTTTTGCCCCGGAATTCGTCTCGTGGGGGATTTTAAGAGCTTGATTAAAGTCGCTGTTGTACTTTTGAGCGCCTCAGTGTCAAAGTTAAAAGTTAAACGCGGCCAAAAAAAGCAGACTTTCCGAGAAAATTGTAAGTGCCGGGCCAGACTGTTGAGAATTAAGTAAGGAAAGTTGAGAGGGGAGAGTTGCTTTGAAAGTGGATTGAAAAAGTACTTTGACAAGCTTAAGAAAATATCTTCATGAAACCAAATTGATAAAATTAAAAGTTTTTTGAAACGTATAAATGGGTTTAAGAACCGTTTTTTTTATTACGTTGAAAAGAATAACAAAATCGTGTCAAAATTCAATTATTTTAATTATAAATGTTCACAACAAAATATATAAAATAAACTTTTCAAAATAGTTAAGAGAAATTAATTTTCAAATGAAATTTAATCAGATCAGGGGAAACTGAAATTCAATAAAAAGAGGAAACAATGAAAATCTTACACAATATCTTATGGAGCTTGTAAAAAAATTTAACAATTTGCCCGTCTTATGTTTAAGGAATGCAGATTTTTATTCCTTAAAAGGTGCCCGACCCCTTTTGCAAAAACTTCCTTGCCCCAAATCGGTTGCTCGCTTGGACTGTTTGCTTTTATCATATATAGAGCTCCAGTAGTGCAACCGTTAGATTGGGATAAATTGGATTTGCAGCGCGCTTTTTGCTCAGCCGCCATGGGAATCTTCTGACTGGCTAATAATCCAGCCGTGTGAAGGATGATCGCGTTTTCGCACCAATTTGGCGTCCAATTACTGCCGGCCGTCAAAAGTAACTGCACCTATCTGTGCTGGCTGAGCGCAAAAAAGGCAAAGCTGGCAGATGCACTTTGAACGTGTGTCTTTTGTGCGCCGAGGCATCGGCGGCACGCCCGGGATTTTCGCGTTTTATTGCGTCCATGTATCACTGGAGCTCAAGAAAAAGGCTCTTAGCAGTGAAAAAATAAATGTTTACAATTGACATACAACAAAAATCATAGAAGTAAATATAAAAGTAAGAAAAAGAAATAAACTTCAATTAATTAAATGAAAAATCAATAGCTGAAAATTCTTGACGACAATTAAACATTTAATCTGAACATTAATATTTAAAAAAAAAAATACCACAATAAATTTAAAAAAAAGAAAAAAAACATGAAATTGTTAACAAAAAAATGCATCACACCATTCAATTCTAACAATTAAATTTTATTATGTTTCTTAATTTCATCATTTACAATTATTTTCCATCCCGCAATTTTGTCTGCTTTTCGATTCAGAGTCAAATCCTCTTTGAAGTTTCAAACACTGCATTAATTCCTCCCCTTCACTCAGCAGACGAAATGTGCAATTCCAAGCGCGCAAAGTACCGTTTTGTCTCGGAAAAGCGGAATCCGCCGCCCCGCCCTAGAGACAATTGTGCAGAACAACAATGGTCTCTGCAGAATCGGTGAGCCTGCTGGGGTTGGTTGATCTCTTGGCCAGCCTAGCTTTATCTGAACCAGAAATCCCACACTATATACAGCTTAAAAGTCGTGTCAAACACATGCATACAAAGTATAAACCGCTGAACGTTTTTTTAATATTTTTTCCAACTCGCTCGAAAAGCTCCTCTAATTCCACCCGTTTTTTCTGTATTGTAATTTCTGGAAAAAATAACACAATTTGATGCATAAGCTGATTACGACCGTGCGGAAAAGCCCTAATGGCATAAAACGGAGGCGGAAAATCGATATTACCGAGCTTTTCTCTTGGCCTTTTCATTAAGGGAGGAGGAGAAGAAGTTGCCGAAGCGAAACTGATTTTGAACTCCTCTGCGATATGATGATCGGATATATTCGCATGCATAAATTGGCGTTCGTTTTTTTAGCTCGAATTTTTCCATTATTCAAATGAACGGGTTCGGGATTAACATTTTGCCGAGGTCGCGCTGTGCAATCGAATCAACAGCGGTGGTGGCGGCAGATGAATATTTATGACCAACGAGGCGCAGAGAAGAAGAAGAAGAAGCAGGCCATTCATAATTCAATTATTTCGGGGTGGATTCTGTGCATGAAGGACGCGGCGCCGCATGCCGAGGGAAAAATGCTGCGCGAAATAATTTATTCGGCGAGTGCAAAAAAGCCTTTTGTTTCGTTTATTTGACGAGGGCGGAGAGCGGAATTAATTGAGGCTAGAGAGTTTTTGTGATAATTGAATGATGAATATTTATACATCAACGGCGGCGGCGGCTCTGTTTTCATTGATGTGTATAAAAGGCACTTTGTGCTGATGAGCGAGTTTTTCTTGTTTGCAAGTGATTCAATCGCTTTGCTTGCCTAGAATAAAACCATTGATTAATTGTAGATTGTTGAACGAATTACCAATCAAACCGCGATTATTATTACATCGTCCAAATCAATAAATAACTAATTTTATTCAGCTCTAAATAAATTAATTCAAAAATCAGCAAAAAATATTGCAAATGCAAATAAATCTATCAATAAATATGAGATGTGATTGAAAAGGTGCAGAATTTTTTATTTGTAAAAATATATTTATTAATTAAAAAGTTTCTCCATCACCAACATTATACATCTCTGATGAAAATTAACATAGCTTTATCAAGCCGATTGGGACGTTGAGTCTGAATCAAAATTAGAGTCACATTTTGCATTAACATTCCGCACGCGACAGTCGGTGCATTTCTCTATCCGTCTCTTTTCCTGCGTCGTGGGTCTCTCACGCATTTCAATTAATTTCACGCGCGTCGCACGTAATTTCGGCGGGCTAATTGATGTCTTGAGGGGTTGCGGCGCTGGCTGGCTGACTGTTCCGTCAAATCCACCACGGATTACGGGGGATTATTAAATGTCAAGCAGTTGTAATGAAGAGAGCTCGTCTCTAGCTGGCGCTGGGGCTAAACCGCAGCCCAACTTGATGACGCCAGAAAAAAAACGAGAGAGAGACTCGAGTGCCATGGCTGGCGCTCTTTAATGGTTAATTAAATAATGGCCGCGACGTTTGTTCTTTGAAATTTTGGCCGAATTTGCATACGAATGACGCGGTGTTAAAAATCGATCGGTACACCAAAAAAGAAGTATAAGACTAAAAATTTTAGTCAATATTTAAGCACAACGTATTTTTTTAATTTTTTAACTTCCATAATAAACTTTTTTATAATTTAATATTCGTAATTTTTATGTGTATTTTATATTAATTATTTATTAATTTTAAAAAATTCGTCATCAATTAAAATCGTTGGTCATTTAAGTTTACTTTCATTATTTATATTGAAGCATTAAAATTAAATTAAAATATTATAAATTTTTCTGTGGCATTCCACAATAAATTCATTGAATTTGCAAAAAACTTTCTTATCTGTGCTTATAAATTGCTATTTCAAATTAAAAAATTTAATAATAAGAAGAGTTACATTAATTATTTTATTCTTCAGAGACCACCAAAAGTCCTACTGAAATTTCAATTACGATAAATACACTAGCATTTGGCCCCCTTTCTCTGCTCTTACAGCTT